CTTTAGCTTCCATGGCTTCTGCTGTTGTGTTATTAGTATTCGGAGTCAAGAGTGTAAGTGATGTAGACATTAAAAAAAAGGGGTCTGATGTTTTTGGCTTGAATCAAACAGAAAGAGAAAGAGAGACAAAGGAGAGTTCTTTTTTTGTCTTTGGCTTTTGCTTGGTGATCAAAAGAATGAGGATTTTATAGACAGATGGTTTTGAAAGATATGGATTTTCATTTTTTTTTTTTTTACAAGATAGAAATTTAATTTAATGCTATTCAAAATAAAGTTTTGAGAAAACTATTTAAAAAAAAAAAAAAAAAAGAGACCAAAACAAAACAACCCCTGTGAAATGCTAAAAGGTACATGGTTTTGTCTGGTACTTTTCTTTTCCTTTGTTTTTGTGTCTTTTTTTAATCAATTCTCAAATTGTTATCTCCAATCTTGTTTTATCCACTTCCAAAATCACCATCTTATCTTGTTGTGGCTAGGTTTGCAAAGATGGTCCTTCTTTCATATTTGGCAATAAAACCTCAAAAAAAGCTGACTCCATGTGATAGTTTCTGGTATGCCCAACTTGCTGTTTTAACAAAATATATTGGATTAGGATCTGTCATTAATGTTTTAATTATTTATGTAATTAATTTTACTCTAGATCATATTGCATGTCTCTTACTTGGGTTTATTACATATTAATTGATGTTATCTACATTTGTTAGATTGTAGGAACAATAATCAATGTCCAAAAATCTAGCAAAATTGACAACTTTTTTTTTTTTATAATAACAAATATCTATAAGCACATGACATATTATAGTTATATATTATACATATATTCCTATATTTAGTGATGAACTAAATGATCAATCTCTTTCTTGTTTCCAAAGCATTTCTTCTTTTGATATGCAAGAATAATTAATTTTTACCTAACATGTTCAAGTTAATTTCTCTTTGCTTTCCCATGTGTTATATTCAATCTTCAAACTATATATTCATCCAAAAATGTAACATTTATAATCAAATGTTATTATTCCATGTATATATATATATATATATATGTGGTGTTAGACATTCTCCTTCACCACTTAAAATGGCAAAAAATTTTCTTGAGTTTTGTTACAAAGCAAAAATGATCAAAACAAAATTTTCTTAGCATCCAATCACATGAAGGCCTTTCTTCTCGGATTTGAGCTAGAGGTAAATAAACAAAATAAAAAAGAAGAAAGCTTAAAACGAGTGAATGGAAAAACCAATCAAAACCGCGTGACTAACCAAAGATGTGTTTTTTCTGATATGATTCTGGTTGAAGATCTCAGTAATCCATCCCCTTCACAATTGCATGCAATGCAAGAAAAATCTGAAATAGTACGGACCCGCCGTCCTCAAGACAGTGACAATCCTGACCAATAATGACCTGCCACGTAAGTAATTGGCCCCACCTTCCCTCCCTTCCTTTTTCCTTTTGTAAGCCTTGATCTAGTACTCTGGATCTTAGGCCACGCATATATAGTGTGATGAAGATTTTATATGTAGGTAAAGAAGAATCTCCAAAAAAGGGCATTGGTTGGTGGTCCCTATCAATGACACGTAGCAAGTGGGGCCCACCTGGTGATGTGGCTATTGGCTGATGGGGTTGGAGGGAGAGACTTGGCACGTGTGAAGGTGGTGGTAACATCTGTGAAAGCCTGAAAGGTTTGCTTTTTGATTTTTTTTAATCTGTATTGGGGTTTAAACAAAGAAAAGGGTTTGCTGGGTTTGGGCAGACATGGAAGAATTCTTGGGATTTGGGAAGCAGATTGTGCTCTGCATGGAATAATTGGGGATTTGGGCAATATGTGTTTAAGTGACCTAATGGCGTAGTTTTTGATATAGATATATTACAGACTAGGACCCTAACCATGGGACTCGTTTTTGCATGAGAATGGGGACCATATAACAGATTTGCCTCTTTAGCACTTTAATAACTATAAACAATATTTATTTGTTTTCCCTAATAATTAGGCATTTAGAGGCCTTATAATCTATCCACAATGTGAGCTAAGAGAGAAAAGAATCGAAAAAATTAAAAATCAATTTAAAATAGTAATATTTGATTTGATTTGAATAGGATTTTTTTATAATTTGATTTGGATTAAAATAAAAAATGTATATATTAAGTTTCGATCGAATTTTGATTTAAGATATAAAAAATTGAAAAAAATGAATTAAATTGAATTATATATTTTTATTAATTTTTATATATATCTTAAATTATTATAATATAAAAATAAAAATTTTATATAAAAATTTATTTAAATATATTAAAAATTTATTTAAATAATATATAAAAAAATAAAATTTAAAAATCGATGAATTGTATCAAATTGATAAATTTTAATTTAGATTAGATTGATTTTAAAAAAAAAGTTTGTTTTGATTCGAATTGAATTTTAAAAATTCATAATATTATTATGTATTATAAAAAAAATCAAATCAAATTCAATTTGATCCAAGTTGTTCTCATTGCACCACACTATCCATCCAAACACAACGAGTGAATGATATGATAATTTTCAAATTATAAAAGGTTTGTTATTATAATCAAAAGCATCATATATTGGAGATAATCAGATAAAACAAGAATGTTTTTAAATTTAATTTCAAGAACGAAAGAATAAGATTTAATGAGATAGAAAAAAGTTACATTTCATTGGTTAACCTTTCAAAAAAACCTTTCAAAACAGATACACAAAGAGAGTTATCTATATGCACAATGTATTTAAAGTATAATTTAGAAAAAGCATACCAGAGTCATTGCTAATGGAATGTGATTAAAAAAGTTGCCATTATCACGACTCAGGGTCAAACACAGATAGGAGTTGTTCGGATTTCAATATCTTTTTCATCCATATATATATAATCATGGTGTTTGGTAAAAGGATTCCTGGTCTCCATTTTTGGGTTCTTTTCTCTTTTACTTCTTCTTCCCTCTTTTTTTGGCAGCTTCTTTTCCAAAATCAAACTATGACTCTATATACCAAAACACTTTGAAACATATCATGATCACAATCATGATCTAGTATGCCAATGTCCCATGGTAGAAAATCAATCACGCATAAACAATACTACAATACTATATCATTATTATCATTCTCGTAATCATTGCTAATGAAACTTTTAAATTAGAGGTATTGCTTTTAAAATAAAATGAAATTTGTGTAATAATCTCAAAAGAGATTTGTGATAAATGAGAGAGTAGGTAACCATTTGGTTACATCCCCAAAGGTATACATCTTGAAGATTGCTATAAGGAACCAAAGGTTAGAGTAACTGTTGGTCCTGGCTTTATGCAACTTGTGAAACATATTACTCTTTCAAGTTTAAAAAAAAGGGTAAATATATATACAATAATTACTCTGATCTCAATCTGAACTGAGATTTTGCTTTCAGGCCTGTTTTCTTTCTCTCTATGTTTACCCTTTTCCAACTTTTTTATTACTAGTTTCCCAACATAGATAGTACCTTTGTCTTTGGTTATTTAAGATTTTATGGAGGGACAGGATCTCTCAACAGGTTGGTTCAGAGCATTGGGATGGGTTAATCTGAACCATCCAAAAGAGGACAAAAAGTCTGGGGGATGAAATATTTGGGTTTCTCTAGCATTTATATACATTTTGTGTAAACTGATGGATGGGAAATTTAAAAGGCTGTCACTTTCAGCTGTTAGTTGTGTTGTATTTGGTAGTACTGCATATATGAAAAAAAACAGTACTGTAAAACAAAGACATGGAAAGTAGGTGGTGTCTGTAACATGTTTTTGGGCTATATCAAATTTCTGCCCACTTTTTTCTTTGCTATTTTGTTCATTTTCTTTTAGTTTTGTATAATTATTTACTTCTAATTTGAAATTTCAATTATTGTTTCCTATATTGATTTGTATATTTCACATGTTATTTCGCGAAATGAGAGATTTAAGCATAAAAAATCATGCACTTACCATTGAATTAAATACTCGGATGTAAAATTAATTTTTAATTATGCGACAGGTTTGTGATTAGCATTGGATCAGCTCAAAAGTTAATATCTAATTGTTAGTTTAGTGTATTAATGCTTTAACGTCAATTCCTTGAATTTGGGGTTCGGTAGTATGAAAAGAGGATGTTGCGGCTCAATTTCAAAGCAGATTCTGTAGTTTTTTTTTTTTTTTAAATCTAAGAAAGCATATTCCTTATGCATTTTTACCATATGCTTTTCTCAGAGAAAATCGCTATTCTATGTCAAACCGTGGAACCTGATCACCGACATCAGAACAAACAATTGCTCCTGCTTTTGTTTCACTGCAAGAATCAATTTGGAAGGAAATATGTTACCCAACTGTTTTGTTTTTCTTTTTGCTCTCTTAAGCTGAAGATAAAAATGTTACAAATTTTCACCCTTCACTTATTACTTGCAAAATTTAAAATTCAGGTGTAATAGAGTCGAGTTTAATTGATTTATTATCGTACCGAATTTGATTCGATCAGAAAACTCGATGTACATTCAAAAATGAGATTATGATATAATTAAATTTTTAAGAGAATTAATAATTTATTCTTACAATTATTTGTCAATTATTTTTTTTTTATAAAGGAGAGTCTTTTGTAAATAAGCCCCTTAAATAGCAATTGCATAAACATAGATTCCTTTTATGCTTACTACCAGCAAAATAAAGGGTTGTTTCCACAACATTATGTATTAGATTAAAATAATAGCTATATTATTATAAGCTAGATTTTGCCTAATTATAAGGTTACGAACAGAACAAAGGGGGCCTAAAATCTCAAAAAAAAAAAAAGCCTCCCAAAATTTTTTCTTTTATCCATCATATTTCAATTTTAAATTCTAGCACTTGTAATTTTTTTCTTTATTCCCAGGTTACGATCCTTTTCATATAAAAAAGAAAATATCTTTGGTTGTTGTAAATCATCCATCAAAAAGTAAAGTTATGTTCAGGCTTCTTTCATCAAATTTTGGATTTTTACTAGCCGTGTATATATCAATCTCAATTCCCATCAAGTAAATAACCAAAAATAGATTGTTTATCCCAATCATATATCAGAGCAAGTTAGTCCAATCAGAGATAGAAGTTATCAAAGAGCTTTAAAAACTTGTTTGATAACTCTTTTTATGATCAAAGCAACTAAATGTTAACAGCTTTTGTAAACCAAGACATCAATACATGCCAGAATCTGGTAAATAATGCTATCGAGCTGTGCTTAAATTATAAAATTGTATAGATATTTGTACAATTGCCATTTTCTTGTGATATGAAGAACATATTGAAAAAATTGCTCCAATGCCTGATTTGTCTGATAAGTATACAATACAAATAAAAAATCTCTTCAGATAGACAAAACTGCAAAATGGATGGAAAATTTTGGAGACATCCCTGATTTTATAAGCAAAAAAAATGGAATCTGATACTTCTGCTCTGGCTTATGTATCATAGTTTCAGTAGGGGAAAGGATTTCGATTTTTGAGTATGATTCCTTTCTAGTAATCCTTCCATGATAACCTTCTTCTTGTGAAGCTCTGTATCAATCTCAGGAAAATGATGATCAACTGTAATATTTTCTGATGGAACAGGTTTAAATTTACTCCATCGACATGCGAAGAAGAGCCAGGTTGAAGTACAAAAAATGGCACAAACCTTACCCCAAATGACCAAAACCAGTAGGCTAATAAGAAACAAACATATACCAACATTAAAGCCATTGCCATTTCCAACCTTTCCTTGCTTATTGTTTTCCATGGTTTCGGATAATGAAAGCCTTGAATTCGAAGAAACTGATGAGGATGAACACCTTGATGTTGTTGCTGTTGTTGATGTTGAATTCATCGTAGAAGTTGTACATAAACAAGGTGAAAATGCAGAACTAGAAGTACTTCTTTTTGAGTGATTATCCTCATTCATTGATGGACTGTCATTTGTTGATTTTGATATGGGTTTGGAATATTTTAAATTGGTGTAATTCCGGTTGAGCTTTTGTCCCAATTTTTTGCTTCGCATTTTCTTCATCTGTCAATTGGAAAATAGTATAGACCAATAATCAGTTTCATATTCATGAAGTTAATTGAAAAATTAACTAATGAAACAATTAAAAATCTATTCGACCATTATCGACTTAAAAACAAATTATTTTAAAAAAAGAAAAGTAAAAAATTTGACTATGATTTTGGAATAAGTGAAGCACATGTTGAATTTCCAAGAACCAGAAATGATTAGACATGAAAAAATTTACACGAAATTTCATATTTCGTAAAATTTGTTATATATATATATAGTATCACAAATAACTGTAAAATTTTTTTTGTTTATATGAAGGAAAATAAAGAAAAAAAGGGTTTGAAAGTTAGAGTTTTGGACTTAATTAATACTTCAATAAAAAATAACAATAGCTAAGCCAATCCTGAACGACTAAAATAAATTTAAATGCCTGGTTTATGAGTAATATAAGCTTGAAGTAAAAATTTGTTTAAATATCTTTTTATTTTAGTATTGATTATCAAAATAACAAAAAGAAATAAAGAGAAAAAATATATTATTCTTAATAAAAAAAAATGACATAGAAAAGGGGGGGGGGGGGAGAAAAAAAGGAAATAACTAACCAGGGAAGTTTCAAAGAAGAGGGCTTTGACATAGCGGGAGAAACTGCGACGACCATGTTTGTTTTTCCGACCACAAGAGCCCATAACATCATTGTCTTTGTCGTCCGGACTCATCATGTTCGCCATCGGAGAAAGAACCGGTTTAACTTCCTCCTCCGACGGCGACTCTCCTTCTTCTCCAACCACCAAACCGTTTTCAAAAACAACTGAATCAAAACACATGCAAAAACTACTACTTCTCTTCTTAATGCTCGCTAGTTTTTTCATTTCCTTTTTTTTACAAACGGTGTTTAAGTTCATGCAATGGTTTTTAGCCAAAAAAAAAAAAAAAGGGTTAGTTTCTAAATGGATACGGCAAAGATTTAGGAGAAAAATGTTTGGTTGGCGAGAGAGTTTCGGAAAACCAGAGAAAACGAGGGAAGAGTTGGTTTTTTTTAATGGGTTTTTAATGGGGGGTCGGGTTTTAATGGGAGAGAGACTGACGATTTTCCTTCTTTATACTCCGTTAAGAAGGGGAACAAACATGTTATTTTTGAAGTGTGTTATTATTACAATAAAAGAAAATGTGTCAGTAAGCCTAATATATATATATATATATTATGTTTGAGATTATATGAGATTGAATTTTTGTCATTGAAAGTAAGAGTCAATTAATTTATAATTAATTGTTATAATTCATATTTTTTTAATTATATATAATTATTTTAATTACAAACTTGTTATTAAAATAAAGGAAAATTTGTTATTAAGTCTAATTATTTTAATTATATATATTTACATATTTATATATATGAAACCCTAATTGTGGGTGTAGAAGCTGAAAAATAGAAATGAAGAAAAAACATAATGTAAATAAAAAATATGTAATTTAGTACTAGCATTTTCCCTTTTAAATATATATAAAATTGTTCATTATGTTGGCCTTTGATAAAGAATAGTTCAAACGTAACGAGGCGTTAACCTTACGGTAGACGCGTTATCAGCCGTCCAATGAGGGAACAGGAAAAAAAAGTTTTTATATAAAAATAATTTAAATCAACGGCTCTCATTTATTATTTGACCTAATGGACTGACTTTGACTTGGACTTGTTAAATAATGACCTAAAATGACTTTAAATTGTTCTTTAAGACAGCTTTCAAAGAATGGAAACGTTTGATTTGGGTTAAAAAAGAAAAAAACGACAAGGATTGATTATTTGATTAATTAAGATTTAAGAATAAGCTTGGAAACCAATCAATGCTAGACAAGGTATCAATTAATAATTCGAGACTTGTCGTAATTACAAACCTTTGAATGTGCCAATGTTATTGAAGCCACTTCTAAAGAAGGCCTAACCTTTGATTTCAGCTATTAATCCTCTCAAAAAAGTATAAGTAACCCATGTCCTTGGGTGGATTGATAGAAGCCCCGACCTTATCATCATTGAAAATGACCCATCTACCATCTTTGAGAATATGAGCAACATAGTGGCCACACTGAGTAGAGGTTCCAATATGACTTACTATTCCAAAAAGCCGATATCCTGCATTAAGAAAACATTACAATGGGGTTTAGGTCAGATGACCATTATGCATGACTATGAAACAAATAAACAGAATAACCGAGACTCGAGAGACTCACTCCCTCCTCCGTCAGGTAATCCTGCGTCAACTGGAGTAGGCGTGCTGTTGCTTGATTTCGTAGTATCCATATCTGATGAAGCCGAGGCATTGGGATTATTAAATATCCAATCGGTTGCTTTTTCAATGTCGCCACCCTGTAAAAATGTACATGCCCCACGATTGTGAGTTTCCAACAGATAAGGAAACTGCTTTCTGAATCCTCAAAAGAAATGAAATGCTGTAAAGACTTTACCGATGCTTTCAATGCCATTCGAGCAATTTCTTCGTGAAAACCAAATGAAATCAAAGTATCGACTGTTGATTGGTCAATAGATGCCTCAGCACCTTGTGCCCCATAGGAGACAGGAGCATCTATATCTGAAAAGATACATTAATGAGCATCATTTGATATGGTATCATGTGTCTATGTCACAGCTCTAAAAGGCAGATAACTTGCAGAAAAATTCAAGATTATACTTATAATGCTAAATTCTGAATACCTGAATCATCCATGTGCGAAAGCAACCAGTTCATTGCCTCTTCTAAACCGGCATTTAAAGTATTTATGGCAGCTTTCTGACAATAAAGCTGGTTAAACCCCATCGAGACAAGCTGGGCAACAATTTCTTCATCGGCCACAGGCTGGCTTGATTCTGCCCTTCCCTCAGGAGCTATGCAGTACAAATAACAGGTTCCAAGAGAAAATTTTACAAAATCAATAATTCTCCTCTTTTATATCATCGACGTCTCAATCAACATTATCATTACCATTAATGGAATCTATTAATTCACATACCAGCCTCTGGCAAGAGTTCCTCTCCAGGTTGAAGGCCTTTGCTGCGCATATGGCTTATATCTATGATGTCAGGAACATCTATGTAGACATCTGGATGGACAATATACATAATGAATATCAACTTGAAAGAAACAGGCAATGTGCTACATAGTAACAAAGTCATGAAAGTACCAAGCTTTTTAGGCACCCAGCCTGCCTCCATGACAAACTTCCTCATATGCAATACCAAATAATCAGGGAATGAAGTTAAACCAGCAGTCCTGTAGTGTAAAATACAAAGGAGAAAAATAAGCCTCTGAACACACTAAGATATTAATAAAAGAATACTCTAGGACTGCCAGTCTACAACCTTGACAAAAACACCATCAGTAAACTATATTCTCCTTTTTTTTTTATTGGAAACTATATGCTTATATGAACCTTGTAAAATAATACACATTTACTAAGGGATAACCAACCCTTTGCAAGAACACAAATCTTACTTGATAGCTGTCGTCTTGGCCTTCAATGCAGTGCTATAAAATTCATGTATCTCCTCTGGAGCTGCAAAGTTTGCTAAGCATGCTTCTAGAGGTACCCTTGGACGTAAAATTTCATCATTGGATCTGTAAAACAAGGCATCCTAAGGAAAAGGTCTACATAAGGCTAAAAGTATCATATAAGACCACTGGAACTTACACATCCTTCCCTTCTGAAATCTTTTCAGCTTTGATTTTATGAAAAGCTTCCAGCTCTTCTGAATTCACGAAGAGTAAATCATTAGAAAGTTAACTTTTTGAAAACATGAATATAGATATAAATGAAATACACAATCTAACATGCATAAATATACATGTATAAAATCAAAACTTACCTTTATTAGTAGCTTCGTGCAGTGGAATATTCAAAGAAAGAATGTAGTCAAGCCTTTTATTATAAGTAACCTTTCCAGATGAACACAAGATACGCTCCTCAACACCAAACTTGAAACTCCTTGAGGGATCCACTTCAGGTTTCACAGCATTTGAACGTTCAACTTGGTCAAGAAAATGAAGGAAGAATTCCAATGCATCCTACAGAATAATTCAAGTGTCCACATGAGACAATGATGGCTACATGGAGAGAACTTCATGCCCCCCAAGACTCATCCAATGTTGTGCAATGTTAGAATTAACATGCAGAAGCCCAGATTGCAATGCTGTATATGGTCAGTTAGTTACATTGCTATATCTAAAACTAGAACTCTAAGTCAAACTAACATTGCTATATCTAAAACTAGAACTCCAAGTCAAACTATGGAAACTAAAAGAACCATTTTCATGTGAACTGGAAAGGTGGAAAAATAAAGTTAATGATAGAAACCAAATGATAATTTCATAGTAGAAGTAGTAAAATCAGCATACTTGTTGTCTCATAGTAGAAAACTCAGGATGGCTGGCTGCAATAACTGCTTTGAACATGCGAGGGGGGATCCCTTCCTGTTTCTAATATTTTCAAAAGGTTGACAAATGAAAAGAGAAAAGCGAAGTTAAGAGGCAACTGTCAAGATCATAAAAATATATAGATAGATATATGAGAAATATTGATTACACAAATTCTATCTGCAAGCATCTCATTCAAGTCAACATAGAATCTATAAACAGATAATAACATCACCGATAGATTTCATGCAAACACTTGTGATTAAGCATATCTAAGTTGCATAGCACAAATTTTATTACTAAAACTATGGCCAATCAGAAACTTGCAGGTTGCAAATATAATCACAATATAGTTAGAAACTCAAGTGACATAATCTAAGAATCTCCAAGATCAGACCAAACTCAGCATAGATATTTAGTGGGAAGCTTACAGCATCTGTTGTTGCGGGTGCAGCAGTTCCATCCTTCTGCATGACCAAAAAGTTAATTGATTAATTCATTAATCAGGAAAAAATCCAACTGTGTTAAGGCAAATAGATTGAAATGATTGCTATACCTCTAATGCTGGTACAGAATATTTACCAGAGAGCAAACCATGTGCTAGTTTTGTTCTGCCATACAACCAGGAAGTGGTTACATATCATTGGATTAGAAGTAGCAAGAGGAAATGAATATTATACTACTTATCAAATACACAGCAGAATAAAACAGGCAATGAAATACCAAATCAATTAACATAAAGGACCACCAAGTAATCTTTGGCAAGAAATACAGCAATAATCATTACTACCAACATTAAGGAAACTATTTAAACACATAATATATTGAAATTTAGGAATTAATAACCACAAGAATGGTAACTTACAACTGCATATTCAGGTCTACAGTTGGATCAGCTGGGGCTGTCTCAAAAGCCATTTTTAAGCTTTGGTTCATATAGTATCTGATTGCATAGTCAAAGTAGAAAAGGCAAAAAAAAATAAGCATAGTAAATTCCAAATATAAGTGGATTTACTAAATTAGTTAAATGTATGAACATTATAATTTACCTTCTACAAAACAAATGTGTTGAAAACACCACTTGCATGGTTGCTGCCATGTAGCAGCTACATGAAAAAAAAAATTAGGTAATCAGAAACATCAAAACACTAAATTGTGATTGGTAGCCCTGCATCACAATCAACATTACCTGTTTCCAAGATTCACAAGACCTGTATAACCTGGTCCAAAAATTGGTTCCACATCCTGTCCGCTTTCTTGAATTCTATTCCAATCAAAGTTGGTATTCTGGTCAAGCTCCCTTTCAGCAGTTGTCATTTCAGTCTGGAAACAAGGAAATTATTTTAATTTCTAACTAGACATTAAATCATTTATAAACACAACAATATTTTTTTATCTTTTTTTCTGGTAAGCTTTGAAACTTACATGCTAAAGTAACCATATCACTCCTTTACCACTGAAGCTAATGCCCATCAAATTTATACACATTATAGTTCTAGTCAAAAAGGTAAAATTCATTTATGGAAACTCCAACCACGACAAAAGTTAAAGACATTAAGGCTAACACAGTTCGTTTTTAGCAAAAGTTATCATTCTAAAAGCAATAATTACATGAAAAGGTTTAGATATATCAAAGTATCATCAAGGGGATTCTTTGAAAAGGGATTGTGCATCAAACTTAGGGATTCCAGACAACTGCCTGAATGGTAAGAGAAAAATGAAATTGCCATGGATAATAAATAAAAAAAGTAGAATAGAAATTTAATTACATAACAAAATTGCATATTGCAACTACACTATCATGACGCTACATGCATCTTAAGGAGTTTAAACAAGCAGTAGGCAGCAAATTATTAATCAACAAGGAAAAGCTAACCTTTTGCAATGATGAGAAATTCAATACCAAAATATGCCAAAGTTGTGCTAGAAAGTGGGTCTAAAACACTATCATCCTCTGGGTAGGAGGAAAACATCTTGCAGCTGCACAATAAGTTACCATGGTTAAGTTCTTGACAAAATGTCCCACCAATGCTCAAAAGACAAGATAATTATCAAAGTGCATTTTCAGTGCCAAAAACCACAGTTTAAAACAAAAATTATGTAGGGTTGAGTTCTCATGTATAACAGAGAGCAGAAATAGTTCATACCAATCATGGATCAATAAGAACTTACTAAAACGACACCAGAAACAAACACAAATTGACAGAGAAATACAAGGAAACATTACCTGCTGCTTCCAGATCAGCAGTAATGGTCCCAAGCTTTACAGCAAGAGGATAGCCAGTCTCCTTGTAATGATCAATGGCATGGTTGTTACCACCAGTTCCATCCCAATTTCTCCTCCCACACAGGATCATTCCATCAGTAAGATTTAACCAGAGATTTTCTGTTTTATCGCACTTAGCACATTTCCAACCAGCTGGAGGAACAACAACACTGCCAATTTGCCGTAAATCCATTGCATATGCACTTATTTGCTTCTTATCAGCCGTCCAGGCTGCAACTTGCTCTTTACGCTCAGCGCCTTCTGCCATTAAAATAGAATCGACTGCCAACCTTACCTACAGTGTTTGTATGGAGTAACCAAGCCAGGTTCTTGTCCAAGATGAGGAATTTGATCTTTTAAATTAAAATTCTAAGAAATAAAAAATGAGACAAGCAATACCTTCTCTGGCAACTCCACAGATGGAAATGGAAGAGCTACATAATCAGGCAAAATGACTATATTGTGGGTTTCTTCATATTCTGCGTTCATTGTTGTCAAATCCACCATCGGATACCTATAAATCAAATTGCACAGAATTAATCTCTTTCACCCTAACAGATGGTACTAAGAAAATTGTGAACTTTTATCAATTTGAAGTTCTCGCATGGGTTCCACATTGCAGAGTCCTACAGGCATCAAACATGCAACAGCTGTAAACATGCTAGCACACAGATAAATTAGTTCAACTTTTTCATTAAACAGTTGCAAGCACCATTTATACTCCCAACTCATTATCAAAGAAATAAAACATACTGGCCTGGGGAGTGCATTGCCAAATGGTCTCAACCTATGATGAATATGAGTTTGACATGGGTATTTTCATCGTTTTCCATTATATTTTGAGCCCCGGGACATCAAACCAAATGTCTATACTTTGAGGTGTCAGATATCCAACATGACTACTTCAGGAAAAACTAAGTGGAACACAAACAGGCACTACTCTCAATTCCTTAAAAGTCACTTCTTCACACAAGAACCAGAACAGGATAACACAATGTATAACAATGCAACAACAAATTAACCACACCATAACCGGTATAAAAAGAAGGATAATAATATCGTAAAAGTACCAATAGCCAAAAGTGTGGGTTTCTTCAAAGGCCTATCTTCCGGTACCAACTTTTTCGTTTGCTTAATATGCAAATAAACTGGATTTCCAGTCTTCTCATAGTTCCAAACGACATAGTCTTTACCAAAAGCTAGAAACGTATTCATATCAACAAACAATCCTCCTTCTGATCTCTGCAAAAATTTAACCTCATTTGAGAGTTCTTAGTAATTTAAACAAACAAAACCTAAACAGCTTAATAAAAGAAGGGACAAACTTTAGTAAAAGAATTAAACGTTACTAAACTCCGTCGGCAGCCAAACTAAAAAATGCGATTAAAAAATAGCGAAAATTTCCAATAAACATTCTCGAAAGCCAAACAATAAAGTGAAAACACATAGCCTATCAAGTTAATGTTTTTAGTTAAAACTAGTCACCAGCAATCCAGTAATTTCTCCAGAAACAGACGGATAATTTCGAAAAAAATCTTGAAAAGAAAAAGGTACCGGAGAATCGAACGAGAGGCAGCATTCTTGCTTGTAGATACGATTGGTGGGTTCGGGGATCCGAACCCGAGAGAGATTGGATCGGAGCAGATCCAAAGGGTTTATCCCCTCCATGTTTGTTTTGGTTTGGTTTTTTTGAGAGTGAAAGAGAGGAAAAGAACAAGATTTTTGCCCTAAAGCTTAAGCAAATGCAAAGACTTTTTTTTTTCTTCTTTTGCGCCCAAAGATTGCTTTTTTTTTTTCTTTAATTGAAAGAAAGGAACAAAAGTTGAGTGTGCTTTTGAAACAAGTCCTATCTGAATCAACTTCAAACCTCTTTGGACAAGAAAAAAAAAAAAGGGTTTTCATTTCTTTTTCCTTTTTCTTTTGATTTTTAAAAAATAAAAAATTTTAAATCTCTATTGTAAAAGTTTTGAGCCAAAATCTCAACAAAATTATTTATAGTGTATGATTTTTCTTGAGATTTTTTTAAGGACATTAAATTAATTACAAGTCATGAGTAATTATTTTAATATGTATTCATAGTAAATGGTTGGAAATTTAATAGTTTATTCAAATTAACACTATCAAGCTACCGTTGCATATTTTTAAGATTATCATGATAATGTAATCAATAAAAGTGATTATATTACAAAATAATTTTATCACTTATGATTTAAAATTATTTATTATTTAAGAATTATTAATTCATATGAATTAAATATTATATGTTGATATTAATAAAAATTAAATATTATTTTATTTAAAAGTACGTAAAATAAACATTTTTATTATAATAATTAAACAAATTAATGATTTAAATATTGTTTAAAGATATTACAACAATAACATATTAAATTTTATATCCCATACTCTTTGAGTTATATAAAATACCAAATAAGATAATCGAGTTGGTTGTAATTTAAATATTTTTGCACCATTCATTTTTATAAATAACAACTTTTTTATTTAATTTCTTAACTATCATATTGTTTTTTAGTATTTGCTTTCATGTTTTTCGTGATTTATATTTAGAATATTTTATTTATTTTATAATCAATATAATTAAAATTATTAAATATGTTTATTTATTAAGAAACTAATTTTTATAGTATAAATTATACAAAAAAATATTTGAATTAAAATATATATCTATTAAAATTATAATAAAAAATAAAGACGTTATATTATATATAAAATATCAAAAAAATACAAATTATTTTTGAATTTATTATAATGAAGATTAATTTTAAACTATAAAAATTTATAATATAAAATAATTACAATTTTAAGAGAAATCAAAATTTTAATTCATATATTAAATAGATAATATTGATTATTATTAATTTTTAAAATAATCACCACATACTAAATGCTACCAAAAAAAAAAAAATTTTCTGGTTTGTGAGGAAAAAGTATTCTCTCAATTATTAGTTGGAAAAACAAATAACTGGCAGTGAATAAGAGATAAAAAGGGATCATAAATGAAATATATCTTTTATTTATAAAATTATGCTACAACTTTTTATATAAAAAAATTATAATATCAATTTTATTTCAAAAATACATATTTTTTGAAATAAAAAAAATTTAAAATAATTAAAAACAAAAAATAATTAAAATTAAAACATTAACAGTTTTTTCATCTCATTCTTAAAATTAAAAAATTACATTATTAGTAAATAAAAAAACTCTGTGTAAATGGGTTTGGAGAAAGTTTGATGCAAGTTTTCTATTGGAATAACATTGACTTCCTCTTGTACTTTTTCATTCCTTGTCCTTATCTTCTTGTTCTTGGTAAAAAAAAATATTCACTTCCATTAGACAAAGGAAGAAGTTAATATAGGCTGTATGCATATAATATTATTGTTTTGGTTTTTGCATAATTGGCAATAGTTTAGGGTCCCATGAAATGATGTACACCTAACAGCAAATAATGCTGCATTGAAACTCCAGCAATTCCTTATTCAACTTGTTTTATATGGGAAAAGAATATTGGATATATGTCAATTTGAACAATATAACTTCAATCTTAACCTTGAGAATTTGTTCAACGAAATGACAAAAAGAGAAATAAGCATGCTAATTCAACAAAAATCTTCTACAAAATAATATATAAATTCAGATTCACATAGATGTTACAAAATGCAATCCCCTAGTCAAATCTGAACCATTAAAAGACTTTCAATTCTAACCTTTTTTTTCAAACATTAACTTGTTTCAAATATTACACACCTTCCATTGACATTTAATTCCATTAGGAACATCAAACATCAACATTGTTGCTGCAGTAACTATCTCTTGCAATATTCTTCAGTCACTGCTGCCATTGTTGTTGACATTATGTCGTCGATGAATTCAAGGGAGTTGAGGCTAGAAGAAGGTGTCGAATAGAAGTGACCTGAAGTTAAATGCAAATTTGGGATGTTTTCAGAAAAAAAAGTTTGGTTTTGACCAGCCAAAGAGTTGATATTGGATTGATTAAATTCATGGTAGCCATAGTTTTGCATGGGAAAAAATCCCTTTGAATTACTGACATTAATATTCTCTCTGTCATATTCTTGCCACAAGTTAGGTAGAGTACTATTTTGGCAAGTTAGGCTGGTGGGGTTTGTAGAAAAATGGTTCAAATTGGCTTGCAAAATTTGGGTGCAAGCTTGAATTGGATTCTGAACCTGATTTCCCTGGTAGAATTCAAATTGGTTTTGGCATTGGAAATTCCCTGTCTGGTTTTGTTGAACATTTCCAGGAGTAGTACCAATTTCCAGGTTCTTGTTCTGGGATGACATAAGGGCTGTGGCTAAGTTCAGACAGTTTGGGTTGAACATTGATCCAATTCCAAGCAAACCTGTTGGATTAAGCTGAGAAGAATTGTAGAGAGATGAGCTCAGAAGTGAGGAGAGTTCAAGAAGATCAAGACGAGGACTATGAGTTACAGGATCAATTCCCATTCTCAATAATTTCTTCTTGATGTGAGTGTTCCAATAGTTTTTGATCTCATTATCTGTCCTTCCAGGCAACCGAGTAGCAATAGCAGACCACCTAAGTTTACAGCAAAAAAGAAAAAAAGAGTAAATCAGACAGTACTAAACAAACATGTTCGATGAAATTGCAGTAGTTTGTCTTTTGTTTCTTACAAAAAAGAAAGCATGTCTGATGTGCTTTCCCTTTTCATCATTGACTTTGCTCTATATTAGTCCATAACTAGTAGGTAGTTAAGTTAATTATTCTTAATATAAAATATAAAACAAAAGGAAAATAGGTTAAGAACACTATTAATCAGTTGATTAATACACTTACTTGTTTCCTAAAACACTGTGTAATTGTATTATAATTTCCTCTTCTTCCAATGAGAACTTCCCCCTCTTGATATCAGGTCTCAAGTAGTTCGTCCATCGAAGCCGGCAACTTTTTCCACACCTCTTTAACCCTACAATAATGAAACATGGATTATGCAAAGAGATCGAGTGCTAAATCATATAACATAAAAAAAAAAAACCTAACTCGAGCTTTTGGTTCGAGATTTAAGATTAAACTATCATATAAGAGTATAACGGGTTTTGAATTAAAACATTCACGAGACGTAATCTTGAAAGTTTTGAAATACCTGCATTTTGGGAAGGGTACGCCATCTCCCATGCCCATGTTTTCGAAATAATCAATCAATTTTGATCCTCCTCCGCAGTCATGGACCTTTTTTCAGTCCATTTTTGTCACAACAAGGAGGTTTCCCCATTTCCAAAAGTATTCTCTTTAAGACAACAAATAACCCTAAAATTTGCCTTCTTGGATAAAGAAGAAGCTGAGTTGAAGTATAAACTTTGGAAACACAAGTCATGTAATGCACGAAGAAACATATGTATATATAGATAGAGGAAATCAAAGAAGCAAGCAAAGGAAAAAAGTTTGGACAAGTCAAGGGATTTGGTGCCGGCCAATTGAAACGTGTCTTCTCATGAAGAAAAAAAACACGGCACACAAAAACATTAAAAACAGTCATCTTCTAATTCCTTAGTTTTGTACAGTGGAAGAACAAGCTTTAACTTAACAAATATTTACTAAATTGATCACAAATCATATGATTTATCGATAAAATATTAAAATTATAATTCAAATAATTAAAAAAATCATAAATTTTAGGAATAAAAAATAATTAAAGGATGTTTTGGAAATTTTAGTTTGGACATGACAAGTACCCATTGGTTAGAAATATAAATGATTTAACATAAATTCAAGATTTACATGATTAATGTAATAAATTGTGAACGGTGGATTTGTCTCTTCTTAATTTTGGTCAAGACCTCTATTTTTTTTTTTTAATCAAATCCTAAAGCAGGTTGACACATGTTCAAAAAAAAATAAATAAATTTTCCCTCCAATTTGATTATATTTTTTTAACCTTTTTAGTCAAACTATTATAGCTGTCTCCAACATTTTCTTGCCACGAGATAGAATGATGGATGGACAGAGACCACTCATCACTCATCGCATGGCTCTAAAGCTCATTCTCACAAGCCGGCTAGCTCATCTTTCTTTTCTTTCTTTATATTTGCTTTTCAAAATTACTGTTTCTGCATATTTCTCCTTTCTAAGCAATAGATATTGTTTTCAAATTGGTATTTCAATGCGATATAAATTATTATATTTTTGGTTGAATGTAATTTTCTTACAACGTAAATTTTATTATTCAAATGAAATTAGGGCATTAAAATGATCAAATTGATCATGATTACGGTAACACTTTAAACATAATTTGCTTCCTCGTGAGATTTAAGAAAGATTAAATAATGATATAAATTCAAACATTAAACCTCAATTTACGCTAAAAAAAAAGATAATTATTTAAGTTTGAGCTGTTTCGGAAAGTTTAAGGATAACTATACCATGCCCTATCTCTCTCAAAGAAGGGGGTTACATGCAAAAGTTTCCTCTCCCAAGTGTTTGGCTAGTAGGTAAAAAGGAAGCTGCTTACTTTTTGATGGTGCATGTAACCTAACTTCAAAAAAGAGCATCTCCTTGTTCTGTGTATTGCTTCATCAAGATGTATATTAATTACTTCCCATGTTCATTATTACATTAGCAGATACAAAGAAATTATATCACTATTCTCTTTTTTTTTTTCCTTTTATCAATAAGATTTTCAAGAAAAAAAAAAGGCTTTATCAAATTAATAAGATTATGAACCTATTCGTTGAATTGTAATCTTAATGCGATAAAAATTCATTCTCATGGCATCAGTCATTACTTTGATATATTGAAAATGAATTTCCACCGCATTGAAATCATTACTTTTCGAACTACTTATCAAACTAATCAACTGTATAATCCTAACTAATCAGGTCAAATTCCCATGAATGAGAGATTCAAAGTTTTTTTTTTTTTTTTGTTGTTGTTCTGGCAGAGAATCAAAGATTTTATGAATAGTTCTACTTCGCCATCATGATTTGAAAGGAGAATAAATGAGTTAGGGAAATAAAAGATTGAATTCAAAGTGAAATTAGTTTGAATATTCACACTATATTATTTCATGAACAATGGATTAAACACAGTATTCATGGAAAAGCTCTTCTTAATTCACTGTTTATTTTGATGGGATTGATTGACTAGAATTTGGATTTTTCATTCAAAGTGACCAAGTCTCAAATCCCATTCACAGTTTTGATTGGCACAGACATTTAATTCAAGGAAAAAGAAAATCAGCTTGAATTGACTGATTAATAACATGAACAGATCAAAATTTTCAGTTATTTGACCATCCTTTCATGGTATTGCGTCTCTCTTTGCCTGCTTCTACTTTATGTAACAACATTTGAAACAAAGTGCATGAACTCTCACCAGAAAGAAAAATTTTAGTACTACTTTCCAACCAACCAAAGCTTTTTGTTGGAGACAAATGTTATTTTGAGAAACATGAATCTTCCTTTGAGATATTATGATTTAATATTAAATTTTTCATCATATTTTCGATTTCGTCGATTTTAGAGAAAACATAAGCGGGAAATTTATGAACAATTTCATTATTTTTGTCTCAAAATAAAAAAAAAATTAAAGTTTAACGACACAATTCAACATTCACCCAATCTTTATAAATATATATATGTATATATTTGTCCCTTAGTATATTGGTTTTATATAATATACTATATAACACCATATTTTTGCAAGAAATTCAACAGCAGAAATGTGAACTGCTGCTGTCTGTTACATACTATGATATGCCCACAGAAACTACCCATGATGTCCATGTTATGTGGATTGAAATTGTTTCCTATTTTGTTAGGTCCCCACCACTTTTTATCTTGGAAATTAATGAGCTGTGTAGAAATTTTCAATTGTTTGGAGTTTTTATTGTCAATAAAAGTTTGGGGCAAAGTTTTGAAATTATGATTTTGGGAATTTAAAGTTAGTTTGGGTCATGGTTTCGTGGAAAGATAGCCACCATAATTTATGTTGCCTTCATATGATAGCCACCATAATTCATGTTGCCTTCATATGACTCTTGCCTTTGCCCCTCTTGTTCAAACAGTGAACATGATACACATTCAGAACACTACATTTCTTTTAATTTTTTACAAACCAAGGAAGGTGTCATCTAAAAACAAGAGAATGAGTTACAAATATTAAAATTTAAATCTCAAACTTGCTAATTATCATCTTTTAAAAGTAATTATATAAATTAATTGAACTAAATATCGTATTTAGAACATCTCCCGTTTTTCTAAATTATTAGTTTGAAGTTTTGCAAGTTTTACAACTAATAATGAACAAAGAAGTGAAAGACTGGTGCCCAAACATCAGAAAATTCCTAAGCAACATGTTGAAATTTTAAATTCACAATCTAATTATGTGCTTATTCACACACAAGTCATTTGTCATATATAATCAAAAGATTACTCATATTTGCGCTTAAACATTTGATTCAATAATAAATTCATATATTTTGTCATTCAAAAAATGAATTTAAATCCTTTATCTTCATATCAAAATAGAAAGAAACTACACATGTTTAATTAGTTTCAACTTGTATGAATGTCTTTTCTATTTATTTTTAAAGAAAAAAATCTTGTAATATAGGTCCAATCAACCATATTATCACTAGATACTTCCTGTTCTGACTTCCTAACCAACATTCACGCATAACAGCTAGATTTCATTTACGATTTAGTGGAAACCAACGGATTGGGGACTGATCATAAGAAGCTGGCTAGGAAGAAGGGAATATATAGTAACTTTTGAGCATTGAATTATTGTGAATTTAGCGTGCCCTTTAAGGTTCAAACCATGGGTTTTCCAAGTCAACAATGAAGTGATGGAAGTGAAATTAAGAAATGACAATGAGAAAGGCAATTCCCCATCGTTTTTCTTCTTGAAATTTGAAGGTTGGGTGGTGACAAATGACATAGATGTGAACATTTAGGAAAGCGAAAGGTAGGGCCTCGTTTCAATTATCAACTCATCATTATGATGCCAATGAAAATGGATGGATGCCTCTGAATTTACGTAACATTATTGGTTCCTACCAATTGAGGTCAGTCCTTACATCAAATCAAATCAGCAGTGACAGGAAACTTTGCGATTCCATTGCAATATTGAAAATGCCAATAAATTGGTCCATCTGATTTGTTAGAAGCTAAATTTTCTTAAGTTAAGACTTCGATTCATTATTTTTTTTAAGATAAATTTTCATAAGTTTGAAGCATTTTTCTTTAATAATTTTCTTAAAACGTTGCTTACTTGTAAAAAAAATGCCAATAATATTCACTTTAATTTTTTTACTATATATTTTTAAAATAAATAAATTTATAATTTTCTCGATTGTAGATCACTTTTTGATGTTTCTCATCAAAACTTGATTTTTTGTTAAATTAGAGATAAATAATTTCCGGTGAAATACATAAATTAAATATTAGAATTTCAAATTTTCGATATAAATTTAATATTTGAATATATTCTAAAGAGAAGGGAAATATATATATATATATGAATAGATATTTATATATAAATTTGAATTTTAATGAATTAACCTTTATATGTATGATAAAAATGAAAAATAATAAATAAATTCGACCATGTATTAATAATATATTATTACCGACGAAAATTATTCTGCCGGTATTACTATGTTCCCTAAATCGTTCACTTTCCAAAAAAAAAACTATACATACCAAGGAGCATAAAGCTAAAGGGAAGAAAAATAATAAAAACATTAAAAGAAAAAAATTTAGACAAAGCCATGGCTTGAGCAAGTATTTGGCTAATGTTTGGGCTAATCTTGACTTTGATAAATACCTAATTATTTTCACACCGACTTGGTAATAAATTTAGTAACGTGGAAAATGTTGTAACAAAAACATGAGGCATTTTCGTTGGCTTTGTGTGGTCCAAATTTAATTTAAAGCATTGGGCAATTTTTTTTAAACAAACATTTTATAACAGATAAGCCTAAGATTAAAAGAAAAAATAGCAATGTCCCCCACAGCATTATTGTTCAATAAAAAACGACAATCCTTTGGTCAAACATTATTTAATATCAAGTAAGATTTGCTGCCATTATATGATGGAGGTTTCAACAAACCCCATTAATTTTTTTTTTTTTTTAACAAAGAAGAAAACACCATACCCTCTTTTGCTTTTTGCTTTGACAATTCTCACCTTTTGGAGTATTATAATTTCTTATTAATTTCTAACCTACATTATTCACTAATCCATATATATAATTAGATTTGAATGTTGAAG